AAATAAAACCTTCGTAAACATAAGAACTATGGTAAATATTTTCAGTTTCTTGATTGTCTGTCATGTTAAATGTTATTTTAGTCACTTTTGATACTCCAGCAATATTATATACAATGGAATAGGTGAATTCAATTGGGATGTCTTTAACTGGAGTTTCTTTCCAATTATGAAAACAGATTCTCTCAATGTACTTGGTTTCTTTTCGTAGTGATTGGATAAAAGTGATATGATAAATTCATGAATATCATACAGAGAATTTAGGGTCTAATTTTTTGATTCCACCTTAATTATCAGGTTTACTAAAGTGTATTACTGATAAAGATTATCAGTTAATTTGAATTTTGGCGGTAAATTGGAAAAATTCGGCACATTTATTTTAAATTTTTTAACTCAAAAACACTTTTCTCTTATAAAAATAGTTTATTTCAGGTGACTGAAATAAATTGCTCGGCCTACCTGAAAATAGATGGGTTTCTATGACCAATATTAACTAAATTTTCCAATCAGCCAAGATCGTAATTTTTTTCCAAAAATGTGCAAACCATGAAAAACAAAGGTCATTTTCGGAATCAGCACCATCAAATTAGCTAAAGAAAATGTGTTTTGTTACTTGGCACCAATCGTGTTGGCCATTGTCATCAAAAGTAAATGTTGCCAGTGTTGTAGAGTTGTTTACAACTGTTAAAAGAATCTATTTTATGAATGAAATTTATTATGTAAAGTTTAATATTATTTATGTAAAGTATATGTAAAGTTTACTATTATTTAATTATAAATTTAAGACAATCTGTTTTTATGAATGGAACTTCCCGAGTTTTGGGTCATTTATATCAAAGACACCAAAGAAATATTTGATGTGGTCGGATGTAGAGGTCTTTCATCCGGTTATTCGTTGGTTGTCGCCAAAATTAAGCGAGTTGGCTGGCGAAATCAGTTGTTGCAGAAATCTGCTTCAGAGCAGTCTGTTTGCTACCATTCGCTGACCTAACATGTAAACTATACCACAAAACATAAAAATCAATCCCTTAAGATATTTAAAGTTTTTCTCGATAGCATAATTTTTTCTTCCTGTGAAATAAAATACATTTTCTGATGACGCCGGATAAAAAAACATTGAACAAACTATCTTCCATATTTACTATCTCATCGAACAATCATACGCACCTCTCTCTGTCTCTCTCTATCTCTCTCTGTCTCTCTCACACACACACACACACATACACACACATGCATATACATAGGCAAAAATGCATATTTTAAGAAATGATATTTTCAAGAACATTTTATTGCATTGGAATATCAACAGATAGCATATTCAATATGATTTCCATTATTTGTGATGCAAAATTTGTTGCGCTTTGCAAGACTCACGTGAACTCGATGCAATAATTCCACATCGCTGTCAGTTTTAGCACATTCACACTTTATGCATTCAATCAAGTGTGTAGCGTCTATGATTTTCATTGAGTACACATTCTCCTAAATTCCACCTTCATCCCGACCGTGCGCCGACGGCTTAATGGTTAGAATCTCCGACTAACACGAATTCAGTCAGGTTTCGATCCTAGCTAGAGGTAACCGGATGTCTAGCCACACTGTGAAACAGCGAAACAGTCTGTCTGTGGATGACGTCATACATATATATATATATGTGCGTGCGTACATTGTGTTATACCGGATTAGCTTTTAACTGATTTTTGCACCAGGCTATCAAAGGAAACCAGCTATCTGGAAATGACCCCAAGCGGTGGTAGTGTTATGTAATTAACGCTTTGGACAAATAAACAACCGCTCTAGTGAACAGGAACCAGTCTCTCACTCAACGCAGCAAGAAACGTTAAGTTACCGGGTAAAGTCTCCATAGAGCCGATTAACACTGGCAGAGTTGATTAAAATATAATTATAAATAATGAAGATTCAAGTCTCATACTATCATTTAACCGGCACACTAAATTCATAATATATATATATATGAAAATGGAAATAGATCTATGAACACACAGGGGTCATTAAAAGATAAGAATGACAATAACTACTTCACTAATTCTCGGACCAATCTTAATTGTTTTAGAACCCTTCACGCTAAATTTTCACTGCCAATTCAGGAAGACATTTCGGCCACTATCACATAAAAAAGAGAATGTCTCATATCGAGAATATTTAACATCGAAAAACATAAGAAAAAATGAATTATTTTTAATAATATGTGGACATCTCTATGCTTTGCCTGATGAAGGTCGTGAGACCGGGAACGTGTGTAACAAAATTATGGAAAATAAAGCATAATATTTAAAAAAAATCATATTACAACCAAAAACGTTTGCGATTTCTCTCTTCTCTTTAATATACACACTTTTCTCTCATTGGAACTACTATAACCTCGTCCCTTTATATATATATATATATATATATATATATATATATATATATATATATATGAGAGAGAAAAAATAGTCTGGAACTTTAGGACAAACTGTAGGTTGTAGCGTTGTAATATTATCGCAGCGCCAGCTGCCTATATTTTGTTGTTGGAGAGAAAATTTTGTTGATGATACATTAATCACCACAATCCAATATTTGCGTACGTGTAAAGATCATAGTCATAAAAACTGCTTAAAGCAATTTGAGCTGAAGCCTTTAGAACATTTTCGTGCCTCCATGAAAAGAACTAACGACTTTACAGGCCAAGATGTCCGACCTTTGAAATTCTTTGTTGATGGGATTTCTTGACGGTCGTAAAAAATGCTTAACGAAGCTAAACATTCTGGCGAATTCAGTCGTTTATTACAAAAGAGAGACACCGATGCTCCAACGAGGAGCCTTTTGTCTGTGCAGAGCTGATTATAAACTATCATAGCGTTTCCAAGTTGGAGAGGGGTAGATTTGTAGCGACGGGGAATTGCGTTTTTTCCTTCTCACAATCCTGTAAGGGATCATATCGAGAGAAAAAGTTAGCTACAGATATAAAGTAAATATTCAGCAACCCAATAACTTACTATCTTTACATTGTACGTTTTACTGAATAACTCAACATAAATATAATGTGCTTTAAGGATTACCTGTAAGATCCTCTGTAGCTGATTGGTCTACAGCACACCGGATCAGGTCGTAGTTTATTATACTTGATGGACGCAGGTTCGAATCTTGTCGCAGAGCGCATTTTATTTATTAAACTTTTTCGAATAAAAACAATGTTGAGAAAAAGGAAACCCTTTCTTAATGCTATAAACGTTATTTTTAATGTATACACGCGTTTAAGTAGGCGTTTTCTTTCGTTTTAAACAGTAAAAGTAATTAGTATGGCATAGGAGGCGCATTTCCTTAATTAAAGATCTCCAATAACCAAGCCGGTAGACGTAAATTTTCACTGCTTATAAAAAGTCTACGCATGTTTATAAGAATAAAAGCGAATGTCGCGTTAAAAAATCCATTAATAGCTCAAAAATTAAACACGCATACACACAAGTATACATATTCATATATATATATATATATATATATATATATATATATATATATATATATATAAAAAAATACAATATAAAATAGTATATTGTAAAAGGAGGCGGTAAAAGGCCGCGTTTAAAAAGGTGCAATCAAAAAAGCGCCCAATAAAAAATCCCCCAAAATTGTGTTGTAGAGCAAAATGTAATAAGGAATACCAAAATTCAAGCTACCATGCTACCCAGGTTTCGGTTGTTAGGTCTCCTCGAGCAGGTAGGATGAAAGATTTTAGCTGACTCCACCACAAGTATATATGAACACCGAAAGTTATGGGGTAGAATAGAGAAAAAAAAACAAAAACAAAATAAAAACAGAACAACAAAATATTTTCATCTTGGTTCGTAAATACACAACGAATATTTGCCAAGCTGTCTGCAGTTTGATTTTTTCGACCTTTTTTTTTTCTTTTTTCACAGAGAAATTTCAATTTCTGACACGAACTCAGTCCACACCGGGGTTGATAAGACAGACGACTTATATTTCCGTCTGCTGAAATAGCCTTATTCCCCTTATGAGGTGATTTGGGATTTTATTGCTTATTAATTATATTGCTCTGTAACTAAATACATTAAGCTCTTTTTGTGGATCAATTTCAATAAGTTATATTGCTAGGATGCACTTGGATTATATACCAAAGGATTCGTTACATTTACTATATATATATATATATATATATATATATATATATATGAACCGGTTTGGGGCCATGCATGACATCCATATGTAAGTGTCGATCTGACGATGCTATTTAAGAACAGACATGAGATTTCAGATCAATATCTTGGTTTTGTAGCAATATGCGGTGTTGGGCGAAACTAGTACATCGTATTCTTATCCTAAATTTCTTATAACTGATCAATAAACCTTAGTAAGAACATGAATTAGAAAGAACATTTAATCGAAAAATAAATATTTCATTTTTAAAACAAAATAATTTTGTTATCTTGTGGCTGAGGAGAACTGTTAAAGATAACGAAATTATTTATTACCGTACTTTCTTTAGTTGAAATAAATCTATACCCGTCCCCCAAGCCCCACAATATGAGGTAATGTATATATATATATATATATATATATATATATATATATATATTTAACAATTAATTTGAGAAAAATTAGTATATGTACTAATATTAGTCTCACACGCTTCATAATATGTTGCACAAATATTAAAGAAAGAATCAACCGACTCAAAGCCATTGTTTTACAAAATAAACACATTGGTTGATTCGTTTTCTACGACTTATCAGAATCTTACAAGTTATTTAAAGCCAGCAATATTATAGATTGTAAGAATTTTCTTTTGAGATAAGAATGGTTTAGTGATACAAATTTTACTAATTAACTCATAGTTGGAGGAGAAACTGGGGTGAATTCATATTTTTCCTTAGGGTATTTGCGCGTAAGTAAATATAACGAACCCAATTTTAATTGGTATTGGGCTCTCCGATTAAAAATTTCGAGCCATTATCCGTTACACCACCCACACAACCAAGCTTACAGCACTCTCTATTCACAAGAGGTTACCCATCTAAGTACTGACCAGACTCGACATTGGTTAACATCGCTGATCTTACGGGAACCAGGGCTTCAACATAACGTGGCCGTCGGTGCAAAAGACATAACCCACATTAAACAGAGAATCTTTTACAAAAGAAGATGGCATTTAAAATTGTATATACGCTATGTAATATGCGTATGAAATAATTGAAATAATTATAATACGTTTAAAATATTTACGTACTTATTTCCGGTACTGTCAAGCTCAGTTTGATCGTTCTGTATATGACGTCATTTCTATTTGGATAAACTTATATTAGAATTTCAAATATAATGTTAAAAATGTGGGTATGTTACTAAAGACTCTACGATACTGAGAAAAATAAGTCCCTGGAAATGACGGAAACTCTCGAAAGTACTTGAAATAAAACGAATAAAAAACAGGACAAAGACATGAATTTTGAACAAATTGTCCACAATTTCCATCTGTGTGTGTAATAGCTAAAAGAATTAAAACAGACAAATTTTATCGACTGAATTTAAGACAATTTGTTTATATATTGGAATGAACATTGAGGGGAACAGCGAATGGGGACAATCTGTTTCTTACTTAATCGCCATCTTCATGCCTTTTCTGAAGATTGAGTTCGGTTCTAAATGTTGCCTAATATCATTTGCCGAAAAGTCGTGAATATGGCAATAAAGATGAAGAAAACTGTCCGAACAATGTAAATAGTGTAAATAGTTAAAATAGCTCATCTCAGAAACCATCTCTTAATTGTTGGTGTTCCCAGATCCACCATGACCCGAGATGGTTGCATCTGTTAGGGTCCCAGCAATGGGTATATAGTTAACTTCAAAACTGGGTTCCAAACACTATGAAAGTGCAAAAAAAAAATACCAGCAATACATTTAAAAAAATATTACCAGCAATACATTTTTGAAAAGAGAATATTACCAGCAATAAAAAAATCTTGTCGGTATTAAATAACCCATTTAGTTTGACATACCTTAAAACAAATCAAACTAAACCACCATCTCAGAAATATAGAGAAATACAGAATACAGCGCAACCTCGGTTCTCGAACGTCTCACATATCGAACAAATCGGTAATATCATCTGCCGAAAAGTCGTGAATATGGCAATAAAGATGATGAAAACAGTCCGAACAATGTAAATAGTGTAAATAGTTAAAATATCTATATGGGAGCCGTCGATGGTTGGTTGCACTAGTTCGAAGTCGAAGTCATCGTGACTGAAGGTTTGACGATACGAGCCTTATTCAGACTGTTGATCAGGCCAGCTGGTGCACAGAAACTGGAATTAAGGTCCACGCATCCTAGTTTCAGGTCAAACCACACGTGAGATCTGTGGGAATTCAACAAAGACAAAATCTGTCTACATCATGTTTTGGTTATCATCCTATGCAGACACGCATATGAGCGGCTAGGCATTAATTAAAACGGCAATTATCGATATGCCTGAAGTATTTATCATAGTCTTTTTGATATTTTTTTTTATTGAAGCATGCTTTATTTTTTTAGCCAAATTGAGGGAAGAGTTAGAAAAGAGAAAATGGACACATGAGAAAAGTCAAATTTAATTAAATTGTTGCTTGTACTTTAATTCCAAATGATGTTTTAAAATATCCATACGCATCTTTTAAATAACAAAATGAACAATACGCGAATAAATTTAAGGTTTCTTCTTTACATTAAAAATTTCCGAACTCATAGGTTTGGTTTGGTTTATTTGGTTTTACGGAATATCAACATCAATGGGTTATTTACTGCCAACAAGATTTTTAGAATAGGTTCGTATGAATAGAATATGTATTCTTTGTAAAAAATCACATTGCAGGAGATCAGTTTTCATTGACGTATTATTTTAAAAGAAGGTTTTTGTTGAGAGTCAAATGTATTGTTGTTAATATATATAGATATATATATATATATATATATATATATCCATCAAGACATTTATTTCTGTAGTTCACTGCTACTAACAAGCAGATTTTTTTTTCTCCAGATGATGGCCATGTTCGCTGAAACTAGTTGAGGAATCTTTTCTTCAACAATGTAGATTTTCTTTTTCAAAAATGATTTGCTGGTAATATGCTTTTCAAAAATGTATTGCTGGTAATATTTTGCTTTTCAAAAATGTATTGTTGGTAATATTTATATTATAAAAATCTGTGCCAATCTGTGCCAATCTGTGCCCGTGGCTAAAAGAATGCCGAAAGGCGGCAGCGTGATAATATGACTAAACCATTACTGTATCCTTGCTAAATTAGTTAAATTGAGCAGTGCTGACTATTGCGACTTTCTTTGAATGGTACAAGTCCCAGCCTATAGTTTTCGCTATAAATCCCTTTAATTCACCTCATTTGAGCGGAGACAAGTTTCTTAAAGTTTTTTCCTTTGTTGCTAGTTCTCAACAGTTATATTTTAATAGCTCTCTTTATCGTTCGGTAATCTATGCAAACAGCCTTTGGTATCGTCAATGTGGACATTCTCTCACTTTTTCTATTTTTCAGCATTTCTTATGCACTTTCTTTTACTTATATTTCAACATATATTATAATAAATAGCTTTTATTATATTTCAAAGTCCTGGAAATATTAATTTAATCTGCATAATGACTTGAGAGGTTCCCTCGTCGTGGTGTAATGGTTAGCTTGTCTCGCCAGAACAATTACTATTGAGTAGTTAGTTTGATTCTCACTAGGTGCCATGTGCCATATATAAGCTACGCTTAAAAAATCGCCATAATAATTTCAGAGTGCAATTTTTCTGATAAATCCAGTAACTTTAAAAAAAATATGTTGAAACTACTTAAGATTTAACTCAAGCTTTGTTCTCACGTCTATATTAGTCGTAAAAATTTAGCGAAAATTTGTCAAAGCAAATTCGAGTTATTTATGTCTATGTGATTTGCATAATAAATACAGACGTTCTGTAGATACTCTGCGAGATAAAAAAAATGATATTCTATTGGTGTTAAGCGATCGAACATATGACAAGAAAATACCCCCCTCCCCATATCATTACACCACCAACAGCAGCCTGAACTATTGATTGCTAAAGTCATATCGGATCCATCCTTTCAGGTTGTTTATGAAAAAAATTCTGACCCTACCATATGTCGCATCAGTAATCAAGATTCATCAATCCAGGAATTTTTTTTCCCAATCTTCTATTGTGTATCTTTTGTGATCATTAACAAATTCTAAATTCGGTTTCTTGTTTCTGTCTGACAGGCATGGCACTTGCCGTGGTCTTCTGCTTGAATCATCTTACCAATAGTATAACTGACGCACTCTGGATTTTCTTCTGTTTTTCAAAATTCTCTGTAAATCCTACAAACGATTGTGCGTGAAATGTCTATAAACACCCATCAGACAAAAGCAAACATGTCTCCCTACAAATGTATGAAATAAAATTCAGCTCGTCGTCATGTCCATATTTAAATGCCTATACCCTCATGACGGGATGATTAGAAATTTGAATAAAAGAGTATTTGTTCACGTATCCTTAATTAAGCGGACAGCGGGTGTATATAAAACATCCTGAATATGTCCCTTACATTACTGGCTTAATAACAATTTTATTAAGAAATATTGATTATCATGAAACTTGTGAATTTTATCGAGGACCACCCGCCTTCGAAAATTGTGGCATGGTGCTACAGAATCACAAACAAAGGAATATACTAAATAGCAGACTTTCAACTGATCTTTAAGATTAGATCGTCTATATTGTGTGTGTATGTAACCACAAAATGTATCCTTTCCGGTTACATCTTTAATGTATTAGACATTCGACAACATTCATATTTCTCTCACTTAAACCGTCTTCAACTCACCTCTCTAAAACTCCTCTCTGTTAAGTTTTAATCTCCCACCTTCTCTCGTCCGTTACCCCTCTCTTTAGCTCTAACATTTGTCCCACACTCTCATACTTACACTCTCTCTAAATTCTATTTTTATTTCCGGAGATGTTTTTTCTGTTTTCTTTTTGAATTTGTAGGTCTGATGAATTGGATCGTATTTACGATTCCAATGGAATAAATTATGACCATAGAATATTAGTGTTTAAGCCTTTTATTATATATATATATATATATATATATATATATATATATATATATATATATATATATATTATATTATACTAATTTTACTCGATTGTAACCTATATATATATATATATATATATATATATATATATATATTACCCCTTGACCATTTTAACGTCTATTATTAATTAACGAGTTGCTCGACGTTACTCTTTTAAACTTTAAGCTTTGTTTTTTACAATATTCATCTACCTACACTCTACTTTCTGTATGTGTATATTTCGAAGGCGTCTGACACCAGTATTGTTCAATGGTGTACTATAGTCAGTTATGCGTGATACACGCTTAGGCGATCATATATGTGTCGATACATGACTGACGAGGACAATTTTTTCCCGCAGTAGGTTGCCACTTCTTGCTGCGGTAGACCAGTTGCCATCTCATATAATGCTATTTACCCATAGCCGGGGTGTGAGAGAAGAAGAGAATTCTTACCTTAAGTGAATGTAATGGATTCGATTGGAATTCGAACTGAATTTCTCAATCCGAGCCGATATTGAAACCTCAACAGAATGCAGAAAGCAATGCGTTTCGTCCTACATTTTGGACTCATCAGCAGTGCGTGTCCACTACCGAGAATCCACTACCGAGAATTGAAACCAGGACAGTTACGATATGAGGCGAACGTCATACCAACTGTACCAACGAAGATCAAGAGGTGACTAATTAGACTCAATATAGCGCCGTTCGTTCACATATTCCGTGGTTTTCATTACCCATAGGACTGTGCCCTCAAGAGCCACGACTACTATCCCCAAGCTTCTCCATCCAGAGCATTAGAATCCGGTTCAAGCAAGAATATAAAAGTGATAGAAATTAAGTTTCTCTTACCCATAGGACTGTGCTCTTGTGGGCACAGTCTCATGGGTAAGCGGAACTTGGATGAATTCCACCATGGAATATGTGAACGACTCTAATTAGTCACGTTTTTGTCAACGCGGCCCGTTAGTACAATTGGTAAGACGTTTG